TATGTCAAAAAATTCAACACACAGCAGTGTGAAGAGACCTGAAAGTGGCACATGGCAGAGTGTGGCGATGGAGACAGCAGCAATGGGAGGCCGTACAGGGACCCATGAGAGACTCTGGACTTGGCAGCAGCATGAGGAGGCGGTATATAGGGGCCCATGGCAGATTAGGGGCCTGGCAGCAGCTATGGGAGGCCCGTAATCTGCCAGCACCCTATGTCAAAAAAAACACACCAGCAGTGTGTGAGAGACCTGAAAGTGGCACATGGCAGAGTGTGGCGATGGAGACAGCAGCAATGGGAGGCCGTACAGGGACCCATGAGAGACTCTGGACTTGGCAGCAGCATGAGGAGGCGGTATATAGGGGCCCATGGCAGATTAGGGGCCTGGCAGCAGCTATATGGGAGGCCCGTAATCTGCCAGCACCCTATGTCAAAAAATTCAAACACACCAGCAGTGTGAGGAGACCTGAAAGTGGCACATGGCAGAGTGTGGCGATGGAGACAGCAGCAATGGGAGGCCGTACAGGGACCCATGAGAGACTCTGGACTTGGCAGCAGCATGAGGAGGCGGTATATAGGGGCCCATGGCAGATTAGGGGCCTGGCAGCAGCTATGGGAGGCCCGTAATCTGCCAGCACCCTATGTCAAAAAATTCAACACACCAGCAGTGTGTGAGGAGACCTGAAAGTGGCACATGGCAGAGTGTGGCGATGGAGACAGCAGCAATGGGGGCCGTACAGGGACCCATGAGAGACTCTGGACTTGGCAGCAGCATGAGGAGGCGGTATATAGGGGCCCATGGCAGATTAGGGGCCTGGCAGCAGCTATGGGAGGCCCGTAATCTGCCAGCACCCTATGTCAAAAAAATTCAACACACCAGCAGTGTGTGAGGAGACCTGAAAGTGGCACATGGCAGAGTGTGGCGATGGAGACAGCAGCAATGGGAGGCCGTACAGGGACCCATGAGAGACTCTGGACTTGGCAGCAGCATGAGGAGGCGGCGGTATATAGGGGCCCATGGCAGATTAGGGGCCTGGCAGCAGCTATGGGAGGCCCGTAATCTGCCAGCACCCTATGTCAAAAAATTCAAACACACCAGCAGTGTGAGGAGACCTGAAAGTGGCACATGGCAGAGTGTGGCGATGGAGACAGCAGCAATGGGAGGCCGTACAGGGACCCATGAGAGACTCTGGACTTGGCAGCAGCATGAGGAGGCGGTATATAGGGGCCCATGCAGCAGATTAGGGGCCTGGCAGCAGCTATGGGAGGCCCGTAATCTGCCAGCACCCTATGTCAAAAAAAATTCAACACACAGCAGTGTGTGAGGAGACCTGAAAGTGGCACATGGCAGAGTGTGGCGATGGAGACAGCAGCAATGGGAGGCCGTACAGGGACCCATGAGAGACTCTGGACTGGCAGCAGCATGAGGAGGCGGTATATAGGGGCCCATGGCAGATTAGGGGCCTGGCAGCAGCTATGGGAGGCCCGTAATCTGCCAGCACCCTATGTCAAAAAATTGACACACAGCAGCAGTGTGAGGAGACCTGAAAGTGGCACATGGCAGAGTGTGGCGATGGAGACAGCAGCAATGGGAGGCCGTACAGGGACCCATGAGAGACTCTGGACTTGGCAGCAGCATGAGGAGGCGGTATATAGGGGCCCATGGCAGATTAGGGGCCTGGCAGCAGCTATGGGAGGCCCGTAATCTGCCAGCACCCTATGTCAAAAAAAAATTCAACACACCACAGCAGTGTGTGAGGAGACCTGAAAGTGGCACATGGCAGAGTGTGGCGATGGAGACAGCAGCAATGGGGAGGCCGTACAGGGACCCATGAGAGACTCTGGACTTGGCAGCAGCATGAGGAGGCGGTATATAGGGGCCCATGGCAGATTAGGGGCCTGGCAGCAGCTATGGGAGGCCCGTAATCTGCCAGCACCCTATGTCAAAAAATTCAACAAACACAGCAGTGTGTGAGAGACCTGAAAGTGGCACATGGCAGAGTGTGGCGATGGAGACAGCAGCAATGGGAGGCCGTACAGGGACCCATGAGAGACTCTGGACTTGGCAGCAGCATGAGGAGGCGGTATATAGGGGCCCATGGCAGATTAGGGGCCTGGCAGCAGCTATGGGAGGCCCGTAATCTGCCAGCACCCTATGTCAAAAAATTCAACACACACAGCAGCAGTGTGAGGAGACCTGAAAGTGGCACATGGCAGAGTGTGGCGATGGAGACAGCAGCAATGGGAGGCCGTACAGGGACCCATGAGAGACTCTGGACTTGGCAGCAGCATGAGGAGGCGGGCATATATAGGGGCCCATGGCAGATTAGGGGCCTGGCAGCAGCTATGGGAGGCCCGTAATCTGCCAGCACCCTATGTCAAAAAATTGAAACACACAGCAGTGTGAAGAGACCTGAATGTGGCACATGGCAGAGTGTGGCGATGGAGACAGCAGCAATGGGAGGCCGTACAGGGACCCATGAGAGACTCTGGACTTGGCAGCAGCATGAGGAGGCGGTATATAGGGGCCCATGGCAGATTAGGGGCCTGGCAGCAGCTATGGGAGGCCCGTAATCTGCCAGCACCCTATGTCAAAAAAAAATTCAACACACCAGCAGTGTGTGAGGAGACCTGAAAGTGGCACATGGCAGAGTGTGGCGATGGAGACAGCAGCAATGGGAGGCCGTACAGGGACCCATGAGAGACTCTGACTTGGCTGGCAGCAGCATGAGGAGGCGGTATATAGGGGCCCATGGCAGATTAGGGGCCTGGCAGCAGCTATGGGAGGCCCGTAATCTGCCAGCACCCTATGTCAAAAAATTCAACACACCAGCAGTGTGAGAGACCTGAAAGTGGCACATGGCAGAGTGTGGCGATGGAGACAGCAGCAATGGGAGGCCGTACAGGGACCCATGAGAGACTCTGGACTTGGCAGCAGCATGAGGAGGCGGTATATAGGGGCCCATGGCAGATTAGGGGCCTGGCAGCAGCTATGGGAGGCCCGTAATCTGCCAGCACCCTATGTCAAAAAATTCAACACACAGCAGCAGTGTGAGGAGACCTGAAAGTGGCACATGGCAGAGTGTGGCGATGGAGACAGCAGCAATGGGAGGCCGTACAGGGACCCATGAGAGACTCTGGACTTGGCAGCAGCATGAGGAGGCGGTATATAGGGGCCCATGGCAGATTAGGGGCCTGGCAGCATATGGGAGGCCCGTAATCTGCCAGCACCCTATGTCAAAAAATTGAAACACACACAGCAGCAGTGTGAGGAGACCTGAAAGTGGCACATGGCAGAGTGTGGCGATGGAGACAGCAGCAATGGGAGGCCGTACAGGGACCCATGAGAGACTCTGGACTTGGCAGCAGCATGAGGAGGCGGTATATAGGGGCCCATGGCAGATTAGGGGCCTGGCAGCAGCTATGGGAGGCCCGTAATCTGCCAGCACCCTATGTCAAAAAATTCAACACACAGCAGTGTGTGAGGAGACCTGAAAGTGGCACATGGCAGAGTGTGGCGATGGAGACAGCAGCAATGGGAGGCCGTACAGGGACCCATGAGAGACTCTGGACTTGGGCAGCAGCATGAGGAGGCGGTATATAGGGGCCCATGGCAGATTAGGGGCCTGGCAGCAGCTATGGGAGGCCCGTAATCTGCCAGCACCCTATGTCAAAAAATTGAACACACCAGCAGTGTGAAGACCTGACCTGAAAGTGGCACATGGCAGAGTGTGGCGATGGAGACAGCAGCAATGGGGAGGCCGTACAGGGACCCATGAGAGACTCTGGACTTGGCAGCAGCATGAGGAGGCGGTATATAGGGGCCCATGGCAGATTAGGGGCCTGGCAGCAGCTATGGGAGGCCCGTAATCTGCCAGCACCCTATGTCAAAAAATTCAAACACACACCAGCAGTGTGTGAGGAGACCTGAAAGTGGCACATGGCAGAGTGTGGCGATGGAGACAGCAGCAATGGGAGGCCGTACAGGGACCCATGAGAGACTCTGGACTTGGCAGCAGCATGAGGAGGCGGTATATAGGGGCCCATGGCAGATTAGGGGCCTGGCAGCAGCTATGGGAGGCCCGTAATCTGCCAGCACCCTATGTCAAAAAATTCAACACACCAGCAGTGTGTGAGGAGACCTGAAAGTGGCACATGGCAGAGTGTGGCGATGGAGACAGCAGCAATGGGAGGCCGTACAGGGACCCATGAGAGACTCTGGACTTGGCAGCAGCATGAGGAGGCGGTATATAGGGGCCCATGGCAGATTAGGGGCCTGGCAGCAGCTATGGGAGGCCCGTAATCTGCCAGCACCCTATGTCAAAAAATTGAAAACACACCAGCAGTGTGTGAAGAGACCTGAAAGTGGCACATGGCAGAGTGTGGCGATGGAGACAGCAGCAATGGGAGGCCGTACAGGGACCCATGAGAGACTCTGGACTTGGCAGCAGCATGAGGAGGCGGGTATATAGGGGCCCATGGCAGATTAGGGGCCTGGCAGCAGCTATGGGAGGCCCGTAATCTGCCAGCACCCTATGTCAAAAAATTCAACACACCAGCAGTGTGTGAGGAGACCTGAAAGTGGCACATGGCAGAGTGTGGCGATGGAGACAGCAGCAATGGGAGGCCGTACAGGGACCCATGAGAGACTCTGGACTTGGCAGCAGCATGAGGCGGTATATAGGGGCCCATGGCAGATTAGGGGCCTGGCAGCAGCTATGGGAGGCCCGTAATCTGCCAGCACCCTATGTCAAAAAATTCAACACACCAGCAGTGTGTGAGAGACCTGAAAGTGGCACATGGCAGAGTGTGGCGATGGAGACAGCAGCAATGGGAGGCCGTACAGGGACCCATGAGAGACTCTGGACTTGGCAGCAGCATGAGGAGGCGGTATATAGGGGCCCATGGCAGATTAGGGGCCTGGCAGCAGCTATGGGAGGCCCGTAATCTGCCAGCACCCTATGTCAAAAAATTCAACACACCAGCAGTGTGTGAGGAGACCTGAAAGTGGCACATGGCAGAGTGTGGCGATGGAGACAGCAGCAATGGGAGGCCGTACAGGGACCCATGAGAGACTCTGGACTTGGCAGCAGCATGAGGAGGCGGTATATAGGGGCCCATGGCAGATTAGGGGCCTGGCAGCAGCTATGGGAGGCCCGTAATCTGCCAGCACCCTATGTCAAAAAATTGAACACACCAGCAGTGTGAAGAGACCTGAAAGTGGCACATGGCAGAGTGTGGCGATGGAGACAGCAGCAATGGGAGGCCGTACAGGGACCCATGAGAGACTCTGGACTTGGCAGCAGCATGAGGAGGCGGTATATAGGGGCCCATGGCAGATTAGGGGCCTGGCAGCAGCTATGGGAGGCCCGTAATCTGCCAGCACCCTATGTCAAAAAAAATTCAACACACCAGCAGTGTGTGAGGAGACCTGAAAGTGGCACATGGCAGAGTGTGGCGATGGAGACAGCAGCAATGGGAGGCCGTACAGGGACCCATGAGAGACTCTGGACTTGGCAGCAGCATGAGGAGGCGGTATATAGGGGCCCATGGCAGATTAGGGGCCTGGCAGCAGCTATGGGAGGCCCGTAATCTGCCAGCACCCTATGTCAAAAAATTGAACACACAGCAGCAGTGTGAGGAGACCTGAAAGTGGCACATGGCAGAGTGTGGCGATGGAGACAGCAGCAATGGGAGGCCGTACAGGGACCCATGAGAGACTCTGGACTTGGCAGCAGCATGAGGAGGCGGTATATAGGGGCCCATGGCAGATTAGGGGCCTGGCAGCAGCTATGGGAGGCCCGTAATCTGCCAGCACCCTATGTCAAAAAATTCAAACACACCAGCAGTGTGTGAGGAGACCTGAAAGTGGCACATGGCAGAGTGTGTGGCGATGGAGACAGCAGCAATGGGAGGCCGTACAGGGACCCATGAGAGACTCTGGACTTGGCAGCAGCATGAGGAGGCGGTATATAGGGGCCCATGGCAGATTAGGGGCCTGGCAGCAGCTATGGGAGGCCCGTAATCTGCCAGCACCCTATGTCAAAAAATTCAACACACCAGCAGTGTGTGAAGAGACCTGAATGTGGCACATGGCAGAGTGTGGCGATGGAGACAGCAGCAATGGGAGGCCGCCGTACAGGGACCCATGAGAGACTCTGGACTTGGCAGCAGCATGGAGGCGGTATATAGGGGCCCCCATGGCAGATAGGGGCCTGGCAGCTGGCAGCAGCTAGGGGGCCCGTAATCTCTGCCAGCACCCTATGTCAAAAAATTTAAACACACCAGCAGTGTGTGAGAGACCTGAAAGTGGCACATGGCAGAGTGTGGCGATGGAGACAGCAGCAATGGGAGGCCGTACAGGGACCCATGAGAGACTCTGGACTTGGCAGCAGCATGAGGAGGCGGTATATAGGGCCCATGGCAGATTATTAGGGGCCTGGCAGCAGCTATAGGAGGCCCGTAATCTGCCAGCACCCTATGTCAAAAAATTCAACACACCAGCAGTGTGTGAGGAGACCTGAAAGTGGCACATGTTTGAGGCATGATTCATGGCGGATTTAGTCAGTTGTGTCAGGAACAGGTGGTTTGAAATCCACCAGACTAATCCACGCCTGATTCATTTTCACAAACGTGAGTCTCTCTCCACACTTTGGGTGGACAGTCGTGTCCGCGGAGTTACAATACCCTGCCAGTCATCCCCGCACTAAACAGCGCTCCGATGCCACGCTACTGGCCGGGCATGACAGCCTTTCAAGGGCAAATTCAGCTAGTTGGGGCCAAAGGTCAAGTTTCGTTGCCCAGTAGTCAAGGGGATTGTCTACCTCGGTTGGCAGGGTGCTGTCCAAGTAGGCCCAAGCCTGTTGTTTGAGCTCCTGCTCCAGGTCCACCTGATGCTGCGCTGCTGCAACCGGCTGGTTAGTAGTTTCCCCTTTGTGCAAGGCTGGTGAAGAAAGCTACTCATCATCGACTGCAGACTGAGGCAGCCGCTGCTGGTGGAGCTGCCACTGCTCCTACCTCCCCCTCCCCTCCCCTGCTGCCACTCCTGTCCGCTGAGCGAATGAACGCGAGCGCACATAATTCCTGGCCCACAGTCCTCTACCCTGAGGATGGACGTTGGCGCACTGCCACCACTGACCACTACATAGGTGGTTTTTATAGTACGTAATTTTGGGCCCTCCCTCTCAGCAGGAGTGTGAAAAAGGCCACCATTTTGGCCATGTAGCGAGGGTCCAACAAGTCAGCCAAAAGTCCTGCCCACGAATAGCGTGGCCTCCTCAAAGGGCCTGAGCAAGCGGCAGGTGTCACGCATGAGCTGCCAATGGCTGACATCTAAGTTACACAGGGGAGTACCTTTATCCGCTTGCCAAACATAAGGAAATCGGTGCCTTTCCTCTGCCGCTGCTCGTAAAGGCGGCTAACATGTGTAGGGTTGAATTCCACCTTGTTGCAACGTCGCAGATCAGGCGATGCTGATGTGGAATTCCGTTCTGCCGCTGCAGCTCAATGAGGGTGTTCTTTGCGGTGTAGGAATGGCTGAAATGCATGCACAGTTTACGTGACATTTTAAGGATGTCTTGCAGTGGGATGGTGGATTTTAGGAACCGCTTGACAACCAGATTGAACACGTGAGCCATGCATGGCGCATGGCACAACCTTCCTTGACGCTCCTTGAGCAGAGCACACCATGTTCTTTCCGTTGTCGGTCAACATGGTTCCGATTTTAAGTTTGCGCGGAGACAGCCATCTGTCGATTTCTCTGTTCATTACACTCAGCAGTTCCTCCCCTGTGTGACTACGTTCGCCAAGGCATACCAGGTGCAGCACAGCGTGACACCGTTGCGCCCTGCACATGTGATATGCCGGTCGGGTAATGGGACTTGGCACGGGGGGGGTGGCGGCTGAGGACACGGCGGAAAAAGAGGTGGTAGAGGCGGACATGTTTGCTGGACCAAGGACGTGCAAACGTGGAGGCAAAAGCGTCGTGACCTGTCCAAGTTGCTGGTGCGGCTGTGCCGGCACCACGTTCACCCAGTGGGCCGTAAATGACATGTACTGTCCCTGACCGTAGTTACAGCTCCACACGTCGGCGCTGCCGTGCACTTTGGCAGAGACCGACATGCTCAAAGACTGGCCCACCATCTCTTCTACATGTGAATGCAGGGCTGGCACTGCCTTTTGGGCAAAGAAATGACGGCTTGGCACTCTCCACCGCGGCGCGGCACAAGCCATCATTTCTCGGAAAGGTGCTGAGTCCACCAGTTGGAAAGGGAGGGACTGCAGCACCAGCAACTTGGACAGGAGGACGTTCAGCTTTTGCACCGTCGGGTGCGTGCTCGCAAACTGTTGTCTCTTGGAAACGGATTCCAAGAAAGACTGTTGACGGAATCCGAGAAGAGGAGTAGCAGGAGAAGGAGCATCTGAACGAGCGGAAGATGCCAACGAGCGACAACTCCCCTCAGCAGAGGTGTTGGAGCCTTGACTGGCTGATAGAGGGTGATTGACGACGTCGGGGTGACGGAGCAAGTAACGGAGCGGGTGATGGAGCGGGGCTGGGGCAGGCAGAACCGCCGTATCTTTATCACGGTTTTCCCAGGCCAACGAATGGTGACGCTGCATATGCTGACGCAACGCTGTAGTCCCAACATGGGCCCCCTGGCCACGCTTGCATTTCTGGCCACATAGTCGACACTACGGCTACGTTTACTTCCTCGGGCGGCTTGACGAAAAATTGCCCACACCACCGAGTAGGAAACTTTGCCCCCGCTACTCCTCACTGGCTGACTGCTACTTCCTCCGTGCGCACCGGCACCACTACTGGCCCGTGGTGGTAGGCTGCAGTGGAGCTGGTGCTCTACTCCGTGGCCGTTTGGCTCCACTGACACTGATGCGACCCTGCTGCTGCCTCCTGGGCAACCCACCGACTGTTTCGCTCGCTGCCAAGCTGGCACCCTCTTCTCCTGATGATGCGGAAGAAATTGCCTGATGACGACGAGGCAGCCAAGTGCGATCAACCTCCTCATCATCAGGTACGGTCTCCGCCTCACTACTAGCCCCCTCGGCTGCGTCTGGGTCAGGAGACAGACCTGTCTCTAGACCGGCTACAGAGCCACTCTCCTCGCCAGTACTTCTTCGCCTGGCTGCTGAAAAGGCCGATGTCTCCCCCCGTTCCTGACCGCCCTCTGTTAGCTCTTCCTCACTGTACAGTGGGGCTGAGCCCACAGCATGCGATACTTCGCTTGGTGAGGGAACAGCAAAGGACAGGGGCAGGTAGAGGACATGTGATTTCAGTGGGCTTGCTCCCGGGCCATGCCAACTAACGGTTGTGTCTGACGTACCCACCGACCGTTGGCTGTAGGTGTCAGAGGTGACCTGGGAAGAGGAAGACGACCGAGCCAACCAATCAATGACGGCAGGGTTGTCGGTGGAGACACGACCGCTGGATGACACCGGAGCACTGGCCTCTGGCTGCGAATAGTGCTGCTGCCCTCGACCCCTTCCTCTGCTGCCACGTCTGCTCGCTCCTAAAAAATTGCCTCCTCTGCCACTCCTCTCTGCATGTTGTCTGACATACTCTTTAATTCAACGATTATGTGTCCCTGAGTAACAATTCTCTGGCACTCAGTAACAATTCTGTCTGTCCCTGAGTAAAAATTCTGTGGCCCTAAGTAAAGTTTCTGTGGCCCTGAGTAACAATTCTCTGGCACTCAGTAACAATTCTGTCTGTCCCTGAGTAACAATTCTCTGGCACTCAGTAACAATTCTGTCTGTCCCTGAGTAAAAATTCTGTGGCCCTAATTAAAGTTTCTGTGGCCCTGAGTAACATTCTCTGGCACTCAGTAAACAATTCTGTCTGTCCCTGAGTAACAATTCTCTGGCACTCAGTAACAATTCTGTCTGTCCCTGAGTAACAATTCTCTGGCACTCAGTAACAATTCTGTCTGTCCCTGAGTAACAATTCTCTGGCACTCAGTAACAATTCTGTCTGTCCCTGAGTAAAAAATTCTGTGGCCCTAAGTAAAGTTTCTGTGGCCCTGAGTAACAATTCTCTGGCACTCAGTAACAATTCTGTCTGTCCCTGAGTAACAATTCTCTGGCACTCAGTAACAATTCTGTCTGTCCCTGAGTAAAAATTCTGTGGCCCTAAGTAAAGTTTCTGTGGCCCTGAGTAACAATTCTCTGGCAACTCCAGTAACAATTCTGTCTGTCCCTGAGTAACAATTCTGTGG